AACCCTCAGCCTCTGCACCTACTTGCAGGCTTTAATCCACTCAGCTGTTTGGCCAGCCCAACAGTCCTTGTATTTCTGACTTATTTATTATTTCATCTTGTATAATGTTCTCAAGGTTCATCCATTTTGTTTTAAATAGCTGATGCCCCTTCTTTTTCAAATCAAGTCCTACTCTGTTGTATAACACTATAATTGCTTGGTCCATTGTATTTTAAAGGTCTTTTCTATGGCTCACTCCAAGCTCTGTGCAGGGAATCAAGAGCTGGATTGGGAAGGAAGGAGTACTGGGGTAGGGGTGTATGGATGGATGGCGGTAGGTGACACAAGAGGAAGGCTGGCCTGTGAGAGACAGAGCAGTGGGCCTGCCCTGTCCTGTGCACAGATTGTGTGGGAGTCACATGGGGTCACTGTGTGATAGGACAGGCACTGTAGACCTAGATGTGGGCACTCATGACGCCAGTCAGGTACCTCCTGTGGGTATGGAGAACCCGAGGAGACTCAGCTGGGATCCAGCTGATACTGGGCCAGGCTGGGCCCACAAGGCTGGTGGTGCCTGCTCTGTCCTGCACACCCTGTGGTCTCACTCTGTGGTCAGCCATTGTTAGGAACAGGTGATTCTTAATTGAAGGTGCTAACTAGCTGTGGGGTCATTGCTGAGCTGCCACATTGGGTTCACACTGTCCATGGCTGCTACAAAACTCGTACTGTGGCCTGTGTACCTCCTGTCCATGTTACCCTAAGCTGGGCTTCTTGTGTCAGCACAGTACACTTAGCAAGCCCCTGGCATTAGCGTTGGCATGATGCTACTAGCCAAGTCACAGACCCTGTTCACATTTCGCTGGCTTCCCAGCACCAGGCCCTTTTCGGCTCCAGAGTCCCATCTGGGGTCCCACGTTGCATTGAGCTGCTTCTCCTCTTTTCCATGACACTTGCTCTGTCTTTCCTTGCCTTGTGTAACCTTGGTAACTTTTGGAGATTACCCACTATTATTTTGTGCAATTGCCCTCGGTTTGAGGGATCCCTCCCGTGTTTCCTCCTGGTGGGAAAGAGGCTGTGCAGTTTGGGGGAGAAAACCTTAGCGGGGGTTGCTGTGCCCTCTGCGCACTGCACTGTCTTGCATGAGGGTCCCTCCTCTGGGAAGCAGCTTCCTTTACAGAAGTGTCTCTTCACACCTTTCTATTTGTGGCTGAT